CGGGGCGCCTCCCCTCTCTGCTTAGCTTTCCTCCTCCTGGAACGCCTCCTCTGCCTGATCATCTAGGTTCTCTGCTTCTTTCAGCACCACAGAGAGATTTCAACAGACCTGATCAGTGCTGAGAACGCAAAGCAGGAAACAGAAAGCACCACTGTGAACGTACACAAAAGACAAGCCAGAGGCAAAACCCATAGAAAACTGTATAACAAAGTGAGAGAATGCAACCGTTTGGGGTCACGCTCAAGAATAACATAAACAAGGTCATATATATATATAAATATACACAGTGGAGCATTTGTGGATTCTGAGCCAGGAAAAGGCAGAATGGGAGGGTGTGCGGTGTGTGCATGCTTAAAGACTGAGTGGAACTGAACAAAACTAGTAAAGAAAAGCCACTCAGACCACAATATACAAATTCAGCAAAGCTTCTCTGCTAAAAATCCCTTATCCAAAAGCCAGGGTAGAGTTTTGACTTGTTGAAGTTATGTGGTAATTATATTCCGCTATGCCAAAGAGAACTCTTTTTAATCACATCATTTGGGTCCCCAGCAACCATGAGAGATGGAGGAAGGGCAAGGAGACACAGCACACTGGTGGTCCTGGGAGGGCCAGGGGCCTCATCTCTGAAAAGCCAGCAGCCCATCAAGAATGCAAAGCTCGGGACGTCTCCAGTGACTTAGTGGTAAAGAATCCTCCTACCAATTCAGGGGGTTTGATCCCTGGTCCAGGAAGAGTCCACACGCCACGGGGCAACTAAGCCCTCATACGGCAACTACTGAGCCTCTGCTCTAGAGTCCATGCTCCGCAACAAGAGAAGTCACCACAATGAGAAGTCCATGCCCCTCAACTAGACAAAGCCCGGGTGCAGCAACAAAGACCCAGCACAGCCAAAAGTAAATAAATAAATACCAATTTTAAAAAATGCAAAGCTTGAAGACTGGAAGGCAGTCCTGGGCAGACCTGAGATGAAACTTCGGTACAAGGGAAGCAAGTGTGGAACTTCATTTCAGAACCAAAGAAAGACCGCTTGGAGGATTCCACCGGAAGAACCGTGGCAAATGGGTGATCTGGAGCTGTTTTAGCTTGAACCAAAAGGACAGTGGACTCAGAAACTGAGAATGTGAAATGCTCGGTAAGGCCAAGGAGGCTGCACCAGCAAGAAGCATGGGGATATCATCTGTGGACCAGAAGAGGAAGGAAGGGGGAGTGCCTGGTGGGAAAGTGCTCCCCTGAAAGTGTTAGTCACTCAGTCGGGTCTGACTCTTTGGGACCCATGGACTGTAGCCCGCCAGGCTCCTCTGTCCTTGGGATTCTCCAGGCAAGAATACTAGAGTGGATTGCCATTCCCTTCTTTAGGGGATCTTCCCGACTCAGGGATAGAACCTGGGTCTCCTGCAGTGCAGGTGGACTCTTTACCAGCTGAGCCACAGGAAAGCCCAAACAGGAGAGACTACCTCCCACATATAGGGACAGACCTGAGGGACCACTCTCTCTTCTGTCTTCATGGCTCCTGGCCAATCTCTTTCCACCCTGGAAAGTACCACAGTTGGTGACCAAAACATGCTTTTTGAGCCAGAAAGACCCACTTTGAACCTTTGTCACTTGCCAATTGTAATAAACACTGGGAAATTCATTAGTTTCTCAACTATAACCTGGGTTTGGGGACTTCCCTGGCAGTCTAGTGGTGAGGACTCTGCGCTTCCACTGCAGGGGGCTCAGGCTCAATCCCTGTTTGGGGAACTAAGATCTCACATGCCACATGGCATGGCCAAAAAAAAAAAAATGGATTCAATAACACCTTTTTTGCAGGATGTGAGGATTAGCAGTCATTAATGTCCATTTAGAGAACTAATGTTGACAAAATGTCTTTTCAACTGTAGGTTCACCGTAGGTTATGATTCAGTGTCGCTGCTGTTACTAAGCATGGACCAGATTGGGGTGGTGCTTCCCAGGTGGTGCTAGTGGTAAAGAAGCCGCCTGCCAATGCAGGAGGCATAACCCAACGTGGGTTCAATCCCTGGGTAGGGAAGATCCCTGGAGGAGGACATGGTAACCCACTCCAGTATTCTTGCCTGGAGAATCCCACGGACATACGAGCCTGGCAGGCTACATACAGTCCATGGGGTGGCAAAGAGTTGGACAGAACTGAAACAACTTAGCTTGCAGACTGGGGAAGTCAAGGAAACAAACAGCTGAGACCCCAGGTGTGTGGATTTGGAAGAAGACACACGGCCTCCTGTTCTCCTTTGATTTCTGAAACGTGAAACCAAAGTCACCCAAGAAAAGAAAACCAGTCCTCTGACCACATGGGCTCAAGATGGAACAGTTGTTCCACAAACATTCCTCAAGTTTCAGTCACGTGGGTTACACGGTTACATGCTGGGGGGCACAGGGGTGGACAGATGAGGGTGGACTGAAGTACCAGATGGAGCCCTGGCGTTGGGCGGAAAACCCTGGGCTGGCCATTGAATTACACACTTAAGTGGGTGAATCTGAGGACATGTAAATTGTGTGTTAGTCACTCAGTTGTGTCTGACTCCTTGTGACCCCATGGACTACAACCTGCCAGGCTCCTTTGTCCATGGGATTCTCCAGGCAAGAATACTGAAGTGGGTTGCCATTTCCTTCTCCAAGGGATCTTCCCAACCTAGGGATCAAACCCAGGTCTCCTGCACTGCAGGCAGATTCTCTACAGTCTGAGTGAGCCACTAAGAAAGCCATGTAAATTATACCTTACTAAAACTGTTGATAACAAAAGCCCTGGGTTGGATCATTTCTAATTGTGTGGGCCTGGAGTAAGCCAAGTATTTCCTCCTGGAGCCTCAGCTGCTTCTCTGCAGAAATACTATTGGATCTCCAGTGAATCCTGCCTTCAACTGAGCTCACAGCTGGTGATGGGGACCCACTTTAAAACAAAATGATGTTTTATTATTATAAACCAGACTTGGAAAGTATTATGCAAGTAAAAGTCTCCATCATGACTACTTTCTGCTCTGATAAATACAGAATCTCAGAGGAGGGAGTCTTCAGTGGACTAGAGTCGCCAGGGGGCTCCTGGAGGAGGTGGGTCTGAGTGGGATGGGAAGGAGCAGTGGGGTCTGGATGAGGAGAAGAAAGGGGCTTTGCAGTGGGAGGAAAGGCTGGAGGAAAGCCAAGGGAGTGGGCAAGGAGGGGTGTGTCTCCAGGGCAGGGACAAGACATGTCCCACTGGACTGGATGCTTCACACAGGGCAGAGGGTGCAAGCTGGCTGTCTATGGACAATGTAGGAACCACAGATACATTGTATTTGGCCCACAGAGTTAAACAATTAAAAATTCTAGAACAGTCCACATTTCTGGTTTCTCTGGGAAAAAAATAGGAAGACCTTGTCTATGCTGAGGCCAAAATGGGCCAGACCTGTCATAGTCCTTACTATTCCCCCAACACCGAAGTCACTTTATGCATTGACATTGCTCCACTAGCCCCTGCAGACTGTACCCTGGTACAGGGGACCAGGTGGAGAAGGCGGGGAAGACAGACTAGGGACAGGGATACAACAGAAAGCACATCATCTCTGCAATCAGAAAAGCTGGGGTTCAAATCCTGGCCCATCACCTCCCAGACTGCCACTATGAGCAGCTTCCTAAATCTCATGGTTGTTTTTAAAAGACATTCTATGAGTTACACTTGGCCTAGTACCCAACAGAGCTGGTGTTCAAAGTGGTATTATCACTGTCCACTGTCAGCCTAAGGGCTTTTGGTGAACCTGGCAGACTCCGGGGCAGTCATGGTGGGTTCTGAGCAGCGGGTCGTGCAGGAAAAGGACATTTCACAAACTGTGCCTCTGACAATGATGTGCAGGGTGGACAGCAGTGGGAAGGAATGGGGGAGAGGAGAGTAGGGGCACAGTCACTCAGGTTTGCAAGAGAGGGAGGTTGGCTGTAAAGATGCTGATGTTTGTGAACCTGGAGCAAGAGGCCGAATGGAGGCCTGCACATTTTTGCCATCATATTTAAGAGTGAAAAATGAAGCTAACACATTGTTAAAGAAAATAAAATATGTTCTTCTACCTGGATGAACTATGGCTTTTTAACAGCCTGGAAGGGCAGGTTCAAATTTGGAATTCTCCCAATTTTTGTAGCTCCACCTGTGTATGGTCAGGTCACCCAAGATGGCTGTTCTCTTGCTCTCTGTCCATCCCCCACCTGACCAGTGCCTGCTTCACCCACACCTACTCACATCATTGACCTTCCTACATACTCGCCTTGGGCCCTAGCTAGTGACAGCTTATCAAAGGGGAGGTGAGGGGCCCTGCCCCTATGCTGGTTTCCCTGGTAACCAATGAGCCCACCCCACATCAAATCCCTCTATAACTGGCAATCTCCCCTTTCCCCAGGAGCAAAGACAACTGCCAGGACCTGTCAGCTGTCTGCCACACACAGTGGGGAGTCGCTCCAGAACCTTGCTTCAGACTTCTCAGCTCCCCTTTCCATTAAACCATCCATGTTCCTGTTGCTGACTCCACGCTCTTTCTTTGGTCTTAAAGATGGGCAAGTGCAGGCCTTGTAGATGTCTGGCATGCAACCCAACACAATGGAAGCACCAGGACACTGGGGGAGCACCTCCCTATCCCCAGTTTGAGCCCTGCTTTCCTCCCCAACCCCAAACTCTTGGAGGCTCCAGCTGGCACATCCAAGGCTCTGCCCACCCAGGGCCTCGGGAGCCATCCTTGGCCATTCTCATGGCTGGGGGTGTGAATACTGAGTGTGTGCTGTCTGGGGGGAGGAGAGGGGTGGCAAGGAGGACCTTTATCCTGTGCAGGCCTGGAAACGCGCATAATCCATTTGGATGGAACACTCCAGGGTCTTTGAGGGTGAGACTTAATAAAGGAGGTGTGGGCTTGGGGAGGGAGCCGGACTCCCAGGCCTAGAGGAGGCTCGGGCATCATGCGGAAGAAACGCTGAGCGGGAGGGGCCCTCGCAGTCCCCCAGAGCCCGGTGGGTGGCGGAAAGGGCAGTACCTTTGGCCAGGGAGATGTTGCGCAGCGCGATGGAGTGCTCCCAGTCCTTGAGGCGTAGGTCCTCGGTGATACCGTTGAGCACGGCCAGCTCCTGCTTGAGCTGCAGCTCCAAGCCCCGGTGCGCCAGGCGCAGGCGGCGCGCGTCCTCGCTGGCATTGCTCACCAGCACGCGCAGGTCCCGCAGCCGCGTGCCCTGCAGGGCCACGTCGTAGGACAGGCTGAGGTTGAGGCCGCGCAGCGCGCCGCCCACGTCCGCCAGCTCGTCGCTCAGGGCGCCCACCCGGCGCGCCAGCCCGTCCAGCAGGCCGGCGTGGCGCCGCAGCAGCAGCTGGCTGCGGTTGCCGTCCACCTGCAGCTGGTAGAGCTCCAGCTGCGCCGCGTCGCTCTGCTGGGCCGAGCGCTCCCGCAGCAGGACCACCGCCTGCTCGCTCTGCGCCGCCTGGGCCTGCAGCCCCCACAGCGCCCCCTCCAGGCGCTGCACCGCGCCCGCCAGCGCCAGCAGCGAGTCCGACTGGTTCTGCAGCGCGTCGTGCGCCTTCCACACCTGCTCGCTCAGCTCTCCCTGCAGCGGGGCCTGCAGCAGCCGCAGCTGCAAGTCCCGGAAGCTCTCGTTCAGCCGGTTCACGTTCCGAGTCAGCGCCTTCAGGTCGTCCGGGGAGCTCCGGGGCCTGGACACTGCGGAGATGGAGGAGAAGGAAGAGGGGGAGAGATGAGACGGCTGCGGAGGTTCTCCCCCAACCCCCGACCCCGGGGCTTGGAAGGCAGGAGACGCTCAGTAAGAGGAAGGGAAAGCGGAGGTGGCCAAGTTTGAGGGCCTTAACACATCCCCTAAACGGTGTTCAGCCAGTGGTCCCCAAACACGTCTGCCCGTGAGAATCACCTGGCCAGGGATCCCACCTGGAGAAGTTGTGGTTGGATGGGTCTGAGAGGTGACCCAGGCTTTGGAATTTTAAAAAGAGCCCGGGGTAATTCTAAGATGCGGTTGAGTTGGGAACCCCTGGACTCATCTATGGGTTTCCCAGGTGGCGCTAGTGGTAAAGAACCCACCTGCCAATGCGGGAGACATAAGAGATGCAGGTTCCATCACTGAGTTGGGAAGATATCCTGGAGAAGGGCCTGGCAACCCACTCCAGTATTCTAGCCTGGAGAATTCCGTGGACAGAGGAGCCTGGCAGGCTACAGTCCATGGGATCACAAAGAGTCGGACAGGACTGAATCAACTTAGCATGCACGCAGGCACAGACTTATCTACGGATGAGGTTGATCCGTAGGAACCGGTCTCTCCTTTTTTTGTATTTTGGAAAGGATCAGACATCAGCAGTTCCACGAGGCTTACCCTCCAATATTGTGTGTCATCCTCTCCACTTTAGAAGGGAAGTAAGTACCCTTATCCCCTGGAGAAGGAAATGGCAATTCATTCCAGTATTCTTGCCTGGGAAATCCCATGGACAGAGGAGCCTGGCAGGCTATACAGTCCATGGGGTGGCAAAGAGTTGGACAGANACAACTAAAGAGCAGCAAAGGACCCTTATTTAAGCCCCTTTAGGGCTAAAGCTCTTACCGTTGCCCCAGGCAATGGCAAGTAAGACATGGAGACAGGATTCCAATCCAGAGGGCTTGCGTGCCCTGGAACCCAGATGCTGCCCTCTAAGTCTGCTCTGGAACTGTCTGAAGGGACCATGCCGGCAGCAGACTCAGCCAGGCTCCGGGCAGCGCTGGTAATCCCCACTCCTCAATTCGGGGTCCCATTCCCTCTAGGCCAGGGGAGATGCTTTTTACATCCATACCTTCTCTTATCAGATGGCACTAGTGGTAAAGAACCCATCTGCCAGTGCAGGAGACATAAGAGACTCAGGTTTGATCCCTGGGTTTTCCCCTGGAGGAGGGCATGGCAACCCACTCAGTATTCTTTCCTGGAGAATCCCATGGACAGAGGAGCCCGGCAGCCTACTGACCATGGGGTCGTAAAGAGTCAGACACAACTGAGTGAATTAGCACGTGTGCATTTCCCTTCTCAGGCAAACGACCAGCTCAATGGTCTCCCACCCTTTTCCCTTGGAGAGGTTTCCTTGTCTTGATTATAAGCAGCCAGTTCACATGAAGGGAAGGCGTGTGCCTCTGAATCCTTATCATCTAGCATCCGGTGTCTCCTGCATGCTCAGGGAGCACTTAGGGACACAGCAAACCCTGGTACATCCTGGGATGTCCAGGAATGCTGGTCTGTTTGCTGTGCACTGCCCACAGCTTTGTCTCCCTCTCTGATCTACACACCAGAAAAATGGAAACGAGTGGGGGGGGGNGACGAAGGAGGCACAAGGGGAATTCTGCCTCCAAAGTCTTGGGATGGAGAGAGCCAGGGAATCTAGTACATAGCTTGTTCAAGTGATGAGAGGATCCATATACACCAGCTCTTTCCTGAACCTCAAGCTGGAACGGAAGAAGGTGGTTTTGTGGGTGCTGGAACTGATGCTTCTGCCAATGCATGGCATTTATGGTGGCCGCCCTGGAGGATGTCAGTCATCTCAGATTACATTCAGAGGCTGCAGCATTAGGGGGCATTTAAGCCCCACTTCAAATTCTCCCTTGAGACTTCCCTGGCAGTCCAGTGCTACCACTGCAGGGAGCAGGGTTTGATCCCTGGTCTGGAAACTAAGATCCTGCATCCCACATGGCACACCCAGAAACAAGAAAAAATGAAAATAGTCAACAAAATTAAAGTGTTCACCCAGCACTTTAATCTCCAAGAAAATCATATGCCCAACCTCTGCTCATACCCATTCTCTCCACTTTCAGTTCGTTCTAAGTGCTGGAATGTTCTGTATTCTGTTCAGACTTGAAATTTGCCTCCCTGTAATCTCTAACCACTGATTTTGCCCTCTGAGGTCACAGAAAGCTAGTGAATTTTACTTTTCCCACAAGTCAGCTCTTCAGAATCTCAAAGACAGTGATCACATCCTGGCTATGTAACACTGTTTCTGGTTAAAGTCAGCAGTTCCTTCATCAGCTGTCTCTTGACTGGCTTCTGAGCCTCCATACCTCCTGGCTAACCTCTTCTGCACATAACAGGGTGTCAACATCCCCTTACAGGGTGGGGCTTGATCTAAATTTGTTTTTTTCCATGGTGTATAAAGACTGGGAAAAGTTTGGAAGAGGGGTCTTCAACTTCATTCTGGGCAGAAGACTCTCTACTATGGCCCAAACTGAGTTTTTCAGACTTGCATCATTGACTTTGAGTCTAGGCAGTCTTCGGTGAAAAGTTTCCCCATTTTACAGATAAAGAGACTGAAGCCATGAGCATATTCATGATCTGCCTAACGGCATGCTTCCTGACTCCTGGTCCAGTGTTTCCCTTCACTGCCCCCTACTACTCTGGAAAGTTAGTGAAAGAGTCGTCAAGGGATTTCCCTGGAAAGGTCCAGTGGTTAAGAATCCACCTTGCAATTCAAGGGACATGAGTTCGACCCCTGATCAGGAAACTGAGATCCCACATGCTGAGGAGCAACTAAGCCCGAGCCACAATTAGAAAGCCCATGCGCCACAACAAAAGATTCTGCCTGCTGCAAATAACACCTTACGCAGCCAAATAAAGAAATATTTTCTAAAAAGAGTTGTCAATAGAAGTAAAGGTTCTGGAGAAGTGAATCCATGATGCAATCACAACCCAAGTAACCACAGGAATTGTCTGCCTGTCATCGCAGGCCGGGACCTGATTGTGTTTGTCCGATATTCGACCAGATTGATTGACAGGTATTTGAGACAGGGCAGTTGGAAACCAGAAAGCCTGATATTTTAGTGTCAACCTGTGCTCTTGATGCTCTGAGATTCAAAGAAACACCGCAGCTCATCAGAAGTAGTAAAACACTAGGTTTGTTAATTCTGGTTTTAACATTGGGATTGCGAGTAACTAAGAGGAACAGTGCAACTACTTGATTTTAATGCTCATTAGCTCAGGCCTGTCAGAGGCAACACTGAAGGAGGCAGTTTCCCTTAAAGCCACTCTCTGCCAGCTCCTACCAGCCCCGCCCTCCCTCTGCGGGTGGTCCCTGTGCCCTGGGAGGACCCCCACCTTGCCCATCAGCCCCCAGCTTTCAGATCTGAGACCCCTTCTCTCTCAGAAAACTGGACTGGAACTTGTCCTTACGGTGAAGGTTGACAATCAGCCACCCCTTCCGAGAGAGTCCATCTGAGTCTTTGATTATTTTTCATTGCACAACCAATTTTAGCATAAATTGAAATAAAGAAAAAATTCTTCCACCATCTCACAACCTCCAACAAAGAACACTGGTTTCCTTTCCATTTTCTTCTAGTTCCATCCAAATGCATACCCAGTCTTTACAATTCAATTTCTGTGCTTTCAAATTTGTGAATGATTATTTCACACTTTCCCCATCTGTCCTTTATAATTATCCTTCTGATGACTGCCTAAGAGCCCATCAGGGAGATGCCTGGTAATTTACCCACTCTCAATCATGGAAAACAAATGCAGAAAGGTCCCTCCTTCTCTTGAATTTTTTCCTACCAATAAATTCCTAGAAGTTGGATTAGTAGAGCCAAAGTTATAGACATTTTTATAACTCTTAAAAATTCCAATGATATCACAAAAAGAAAAAAAAAATCTAGCCAAATCACTTCCCAGAAGTTATACCTATTTGTAATTACATTATAGGCTTTCCAGGTGGCGCTAGTGGTAAAGACTGCTAAGTCACTTCAGTCGTGTCCGACTCTGTGCGACCCCATCCCTGGGATTCTCCAGGCAAGAACACTGGAGTGGGTTGCCATTTCCTTCTCCAATGCATAAAAGTGAAAAGTGAAAGTGAAGTCGCTCAGTCATGTCTGACTCTTCGCGACCCCATGGACTGCAGCCTATCAGGCTCCCCCGTCCATGGGATTTTCCAGGCAAGAGTACTGGAGTGGGGTGCCATTGCCCTCTCTGCGTGGTAAAGAACTCAGCTGCTAATACAGGAGACATAAGAGACTCAGGTTCAATCCCTGGGTTGGGAAGATTGCCTGGAGGAGAAAATGGCAACCCACTCCAGTATTCTTGCCTGGAAAATCCTATGGACAGAGGAGCCTGGTAGGCTACAGTCCATGGGGTCACAAAGAGTCGGACATGACTGAAGCGACTTAGCACACACGCATACATGTACGTTATAGATTTTTTAATGTGCCAGTTTCAATAAAACTTCAATGCACTGAGTATTACAATTTTCATATGGTTAATGTCACAGATACAAAATGGTAGCTTGTTATTTTATGTTAGTATATTTGCATTTTAGAAGTGACTTTCTCAAGGCAATGCATTACCTATCTTTACAATTTGATTTCTGGGCTTTTTTTTTTTTTAATTTAATGACTCAGCTCAAATGAATGATATGGGTATTTTAGGTACTTAGTCTAATCAGAACAAAATTATTTGAAGGAGTAAATACTCTTTGGGCATCCAGTCATGCTGTAGAAGCCCAGAGCAGCCTCCCTCTTTTGGGATCACTTACCCACCCCAGAAATGAATTATCTCCTTCCAATAGTCACAGTGTGTTCTCAGCTCACACTACCCCACCCCCTCCTACCCCCATTTAATCCCTTCCAGATGTTTGCTGTCCTCAACAGGGAACAATTCTTCCTGAGTGTGACTCTCTTAATTCATGTTTATGCAAACAGTTCATTTATCTCTCTGC